AACTTCAATTTGTTATAGCACATCTCAAGGGACCCAAGAAAACTTTATATATTTGAGGCAGAAGGACATATTTAAGGTGACAGAGACTGAGACAAGGACAGATTGTATCATATGCATTTTTAAACAGGTGAGTTGTGAATAGTTTTTGATATGTCCCAGGGGATGTTGCATTGCAAACCTCTATCGGCAGAGGATTCCAGAGGGCGGGGGGCCACCACACTTAAAGATCTGTCTCCAAAAATCTGCAGTCTGGTGTTGAGGATGGTGACCAGACTCCAAAGTATAGGCAGCAGGAGTAAAACAATAGCTAACACTGGATGTTGTTTTCTACCGCTGTTGACAGCTCTTGGCCAGTAAAGAAATTATCCTGAACTCGTAAAGGTTTCTGCTGGAGCTGTTCATGCTAACGTTGGCCATGCAGCAATGGTAAAAACCTACAAATAGCACCTTTAGAGTTAAATCAATGACTGACACTAAGACCAAAGCGACAGGACCACACCAGTAACAATGTTGATGTTATATGAGCTGTAAAAAAAAATAACTAAACACTGCAGAGGCGAAATATACATCCCATGGCCTCAAAAGTAATAAACTCTGCTCCTCCACACACGCTGAGCACTCTCCTCCCTCCAGGACGCTGAGGGGCGGCCTCGGATGTGATCGTTGGCTTTGGTGATGTACACTATCGTGAACATGACGAGCTGGTGCGGTCGGGAAAATAACATTAGCTCTAGTTATATATATATTTTTAAATAAATAAACAACCATGGGAGTAAATTATTTCTTCCGAGCACATGAAAGTGCAGTTGAAAGAATAAAATTAGATTGTGACGGGAACAGTAGGAAAACACTCACACAATGGCTTCACTGTGGGCCCGGTCCGCCGCTACGGCTATCGCTTCCTCGGCTTCTCTCTCCAGACGAGCCTTCGGGGAAATTCAGAAAAATTGCTGCACTGTTTCACCTGAACATTATTTCATCATCATTTCACCACAGCAGCTATTATGGACCCACTCTCTGGTTTCTTAACCACTTAACCTAGGGCCTGCTACAGTATCTTCTTTTAAAAGCAAACTAAAACCACAAGCCTTTGATTAGTGTGTCACTGAAGAGCAGCAATCTATTATATTTACTGCTGA